CGTGGGTGTGCAGGCTTAAGGCGCGCGTGAATTTTTTTTCTGTTGTTGATCATAAAGCCGGCCCGGACCTCGGTCGTTTAGCTTGGTGATATTATTTATTATTTATTTTTGATTAAGCAAGAATAAGGATATTTTCTTTTGGTACAGTTGACCGAGTCAACCCGACAACGGCATCGGAAATAACGCCGCGATTTCGTACGGTGAGCCGGATGTCGTAGAATGGCGCGCGGGGTAATTATGGCATAATATAAGATAGCCGGTGCGGGCACTGGGAGCCGCGCAGCCGTTTTGTTGGCCCAAAAAGCGTCCCGCCGCACCGTCTTGTATGGTATTTTGCGGACATGGGTCTCAGACTAGGGCTCAGCCCTATAGGTTACGACATTGGACTGACACTACGAAGGCTCGGGGGTCGAGGTCGGCGGGCGTCGGCGCAACAACTGCAGCGGAGCGTACGGAGAAAACCGAGGGGTTGAGGGACGACGGGCTATCCCCCTCTGGTTTTTGTTGACAGACGTAGCGGCAGGGCCGATCCACGGGACCGGTGGGGCTTTAGCAGTCCCCGCACTGTGCATAGGGGCCCTTATTTATGATATTTTATGTCTTTTATTTTTGGTTTTTATGTATTTATCTATTTGTTTTTCCCTTATTGTTATGCGCGGCCCCGTTTTGGCCCGGAGCGCGGTACCGTGGGTGTAGCAGGCACCCAAGAGTCTTTAGCTCAGTGGGTACACCTATGAACTGTTGAAATACAGACCCGAGTTCAAACTTGGATGATCGGGAGCTTGGTTGTGGGCGCAATGGGCGCAGCGGCCAGAGTATGCGCGGTAAGCCGGGGGCATTTACGGCAGGGGTGGCTGTAGTACTACCATGCAGTCCACCCGTAGGGGCCTACGCATAGGGGCAAAAGACTAAACGAACCGTCTAGTAGCTGGCTCATTCCGAAGTTTCCCTTAGGCCGGCAAGCGCGGAGGGGCAACGCTCTACGGCGGGGTGCTACCGCGGTCGGGTCCTTCGGGACATCCGTTAGACTTGGAATGATACACAGGAGATTAGCGCGGCCCATGTAAACAGGGAATAAATACAAGATCGAGGGGCGGGGCCGCAGCTGAGTGGTTTCGGAACGTTGGGTGTCGTCGGACTGCGTGGCGTGAAGGGCCGGGGCGGTGACTGCGAGAGGGAGAGATGTGCTGGCCAGGGGAGACGAGCCGGGAGACCGAGGATACAGGGCGCAGCGGCAGGAACGCGGTGCAGGTGGCAGAGAAAAGGGATCCGGGGGTGTTCCCGGGCCAGATCCATCCGGGGAAAGCATTGCAGCAGGTAGCGGGGACGGCTGAGACAGGCGGAAGCGCTAAGTAGGAGGAGCGACGGGCAGCGGGCGGCGCTGCGTAGTAGCGAGCGGAAGAACGAGGCACAGCGGGAAATAAGGGAGAGAACCTGGACGCATTTCGCGCCAGGTCCATTCGGAGTAAGGAAGGAGGAAGATTCGGCTATTGGAAGCAAGAAAACAAAGAACTCGCTC